TTATTTTTTTTTTAATAAGTAGGTACTTTTTTTTAAGAGTATGTGCAGGAAAGGAAACAAAGAGAACATGCAATCCAGGGCAGCATTTCTAAAGCTTAAGACGCTACTAATTTTAGTTTTTGTCTTTTTCTTCCCCTCTCCCCGTAAGGCGAACCATTCTGAGCTGGCTGGCACTCAGTGAAACCCCACTGATTTGGCTCGCAATAGAAACGCATCCACGCTGCCTAATTTTAACCTTTTTTCCCTCTCCATGAATTTCAGTTCTCTGTAAGATCCATGAGATGTCTGTGCATCGGAGCAGTGTCAAGATCATCATTAAAAAGTAGTGTTCTTCTAAACTACTGCTCCCTTTCTCCTTAGGAAATAAATCGTTCCCCTCCCTTGCAAATGACAGCCTGAACACTGGCACTACGCTTCACGGTCAGAGCAGCACAAGTGTCACCCAGCACTGACTCAGCACGAATGCTTCTATGAGAAGTGCCTTTTCCCAGCTATGGCTTACATTCCTTAAGGCTGCCTGGTGGAGATCCTGGGCTGGTGGGAAGGCAACGGGCAGATGCTCAAAGACTTCCCATAAGCTTTAATGGAGGTCTGCAGCATCCAGGTTTACAGTACGTACTGGCACAGGCGGTCCCTTGCTATGTTACATGCAAGCATTTTTTGGTGAGTAAAGATGCGAAAAGCCTGTAGTGCTGAGGATAGCGCATGGCCAAGCGCTTAGGACACAAACTGCGCCACCTCTGGCAAGCCGATCTACTTTAAAGAGGCTTCCTGCCCTGACAAATGGAGAAGTGTGGTCGCAGAGCACCATCTCTGTAGGGAAGCTGTAGGATCAGTCCCAATTCTGGGAACTGTAGGACGCATTGTGCCTCCTGAGGATGCCATCCCTCTGCAAGTCCCTGCACAGGCAGCAGTACCCTTGCGTCTCGCTGCCTCGGGCATCGCTAGGGCCCCTTATGGCTACTTTAGGGCTAAGGGTTGTTTGAAGCTGCTTCACGCGTTTGCTCCCACAGTTTGCAACACGTGTACATTTAGGTATGCACACTAAGCAGGAAACAAATTTTATATGTGATCAGACTGGGAAAATAATTTTTTCCACTGCAGTCAGAAGAATACTTTACATAGCAGGTTTTCATGACACCATAGAGAGGAAAAAATAAATCCAGTTGAAAATAACGGATAAAATGTAAACTATGCCTATACAAACGTCCTTCCTTTTTAAGGTTCACTTTCAACATTCCTTGTGAACGTAAGGGAATTTTGGCTTGGCACAATGAAAATTCCTTGCATACCATGTGCACGTTTTCTGGATGAAACAGCTATTTTCCCACACACTTCTGTAGCGATGTTATTAACATACTCATGATGGTTGGAAATAATCAATTCATAGTATTTCTTCATTTTAAGAGTCTTTAAAAAAAATCTGAAAGTAAAATGCATGCTTTTTAATTGCATAGACATATAATTTCTGAAATGTTAGACAAGTAACCAGTTAAAGGTAAAAAAAATGGGATTAAAATTTGAAAATTATACATATGGACTTTAACATTCACAAATTTGCTGTGAAAAGTCATGCACATGCTCTGTTTGCCGGACCAAATCTAAAAACAAGTCCCCAAACCAATGATGAGATGCAATGGTATCTGCCGGTATATTTTTGGGTATAGGCATGCAGTCGAATTATTTGACTTTTTTTTCTTTTCATTTTTTGAAGAAGCCTAGTATAAGAAGTTTTATTTAAGAAGTTTGGAACATTCTATTCTCAGGCTAGATATTTTTTCCCCTATTTTTACGAGCATCTTTGACGCACAATACATTGAAAACTAACACGAATTAATTCATCTTTAATATCTCCCATATTAAGCACTATAGGAAGCAGAGTCCTTCTGCAATCACTGAGGAAATTCCTTGTGAATTAGAGGCTGCTTTCTCATTTAAGGTCATGTGCTGAGGGAACACAGCTCCCTAAATAGTGAGGCTTTTGTTGGGCTATTCATCTCCTGCAGCAGCTCTTCTGAAAAACATGGTCAAAGGCAGGGGGAAACAAGTACCAAGCAAAGCCAGAGTTTCTCATGGATAGATTCCATCCCTAGAAACAAAGCCTCCTCCCAAGGATCCTGCTCTGTATAAGCTCCCCATGGGCCTTCTAAAAGCCTTGATCTGTCACATCAGCAGCAGCTTATTCTTTTTCATTAGGCTCCTCCACAATACAGCAAAACCATGAGGGAGACGCAAAAAAGCTTTTCTTCTTCTTGTTTTTTTTCTTAAAAAACTTTTTTTTTTTTTAAATTAATACCCTTTTTTTTTTATTTTTTAACCTCAGGACAGCAAGCAGCTTACAGTGCAATTTGTCCTGTGAGTCTGCTCTATTTGACCAGAGCATTTAAAACATTCAGGCAGGTGCTTGATAAGGAAATAGTGGCCGTGCCCCTTCGCAGGCAGCACTGCAGAAGGAAAGGAGTAGCAGTGCGATGTGTGCGGAAGATGGGTGTTACTGCTCAAATCCTTCTCCCACAAAGAACACAGCTCCATTGTCCTCTACCCACATCATTTAACTCCCTCTAACAGTGAAAGGTAATTTCTAAAGAAAAAAACATTAGCTATCACTTCAGTAAACGCTTTCAGGGCCGTTACGGGAAATACATCTGAGGAATCTTTTTTGCTAAAAAAAAAAAAATAATAAAAAAATCACACTGCTTAAAGAACACTATCACATCTTTTGTTATATACTCAGATATTCTCTGCTGAGCTTTTAAATTTGTTTTGTTTTGTTAAGTGAAACAAATACCCAGAGACTTTGTTTCCTGCTCTCTCAAAAATACTAATAAATTGTGACAAGGCCAACCGCAGGTAAACCTTTATCGGTCTTCTCTTAATCCCACTAAAACCAATGGTTTGGATCTGTTATTTTACATAGGAGGAAAATGGTTCTACCTGTTTTAAAAGAAAATGAAAGTCTAAGGTGTACTTGATAGATTACAGAATTAATCTGTAATTAAGATATTGCAATGGAGCTATCACTAAAATCAGGGTCAGTGAAAGGAACCCCCTTTTTCTTTAAATGAGACACTTTTACCTGTATGGTAGAAAGCTCAGGGACTGCTTTGAAGACTGCTTTTAAAACATTTAATAGTCGAGTTTGCATTTTTTTTATTTTTAAACGCGCTCTAAAATCTAAAGCTTTTACGACAATTTAATGGAAAGCTCATGGTCTCTATTATTTTTCTTGATCCCTCACTTGATCCACAACCCAATAAATCAACTGTGAACACTCATATAACACTTGTCATTTGCTCTGCACCTTGCCTTCCTCTCACATGTATACTCCTCAGATTTCAGTGGGAATTTGCCAAAGAAATACAGAATAGGAAATATGAATATGTACTAATTTCTAAAAACTGCATATAAAGAGGTCCAGCTTTGTTTCTGTAACTCCTATCTATGACCAGTATTTAGATATCAGTAATCAAAGAATCATAGAATTATTGTTGCTAATTAATGTTGCTAAAATGATACACTGCATACTCTCTTCTGAGATGATTTTTTTTTTTTTTTTTTACCAGCAAGATTTTAGTGTATTAGAAGTTGATCAGGTTTTCGTAGGGTTTCGGCAGCATAAAGTTAGTAAATCAGACTCTTGGCTGACTCTTCCAACTAGCATATAACAGTAACACATCTTCTACCACTATAGCCGGGTTCAGGGCTAAGAAAATGCTTCTGCTTGACCTTGTAGCTCAAATTCCGCTCTCAGATAAGCTCATATTGGTCCCACTGTGTTTAGAAGAGTTTTGCCCATTTCTGAAGGCAGAATTCGATCCCACATTTATGAAGTCAATGAATGTGTTCTCTTGAGAAAAAGAATCCTGTTTGCCTCACCATCTTCCGAACTGCAGGTTCTTTTCCACATCACATCGGACACATTTCTCAATGCACAGTCACAAAAATTGAAGTGGTTTTGCAAGGATTCACAAAATCTAATCCTGTCAACTAATTTACATAGGAAAAAATAGCATGTGTGTAAAATCAGACTTGCGTCTGACATCATACGAAAAGAACAAAGTCCTTATTTGGCAAAACACTGATATGTAGCTAGCAAACCAAATACAGCTCTGCTGTAATTTATCTGCTTGCACTGGATCTGATGCTGCTGACTCCAAAGGTGAAGTCAGCCGGCAGTGATCATCATGTAGACTATGCTGTTGGACAGAGGAACAATCTCATTTTCTGTAGCCACTCAGTTTCCAAATACCTTGAAATTCATATATAAATTTTTACGTTGAAACAAGTAAAAAAGCTAAAAACTACTCTTTATCAGATATAAATTATCTTTAAGTGACAACATAACGTATAAAAAACTATATATATAAAATTTATCTGGGTGTGTGCGCACACACGTGTGTGCATACACACACAACTATACATCCACACCAGTAACTAAGCACTCGTTTAATCCAGTCATTTTTATTAAGCAATAAGGAGAAGCTAGGAGGCTAGAGCGGATAAATCAGTGGAATTTAGTCAACTGAGAGAACTATAAAAGTACCGTTTACTCTATTTAAGAGTGTTTGAATAGTTTTATCTATTGCTATAATATACAGCAACGTTAATATTTCAGTCACAGCTTTTGTCCATTCCCACAGAGCACATCAGTACTAGCTACATGTAGAGTGAGATCAGTGCTTTGTCAGACCGGTTCATATCTACATTCTAGGCCATAACTAAATAAATTAGAATACGCTAAAGTGCTACATCAACACTAACGTTCCTGAACAGTAGTAACGCACATTTCTCTTTCAAAAATAAAAAAAAAATACAGCAGCTATAGTTTCAAACATAGTCACATTACGTGAATATGCTTACATGTCACTTTGTTACAGTATTCAAGAAAACGCACGACACAAACCCACACGGCAACAGTCAGGACTCCGACAGAGTACAAAAGGCAACTTTTTAAAAGTCGAGCATGATGGAAACAGACATTTGCAGAAACCACACTGTCTTCAGAATTCACACTTGAATGTTTCGTTTAATCGCAACTTGCTGATGTCGATATTTATTTCCTCTGGTTTGTCACGTCTGTATGTTACTGTTCTTGTACAAACAGTAGGCAAAAACATCTTATCCTTGAAGGAGAAGATACAATTTTTATCAACAATTAGCTAACTTTTACGTGCAAGAAAAAGATTACTGAATATGATGGCTCTGAAATCAATTACCTTCTTCGCTGCCGATACTCTGTAATCAGCTGAAGATTTAACTTTATTGCTACTCCCCTGCAGAATTATCTGCCTGATGATAAGGACAACAAGCAACCCGATCAGAAAGGTAACTATAAAGATTATGGAAAAGACTCTAAAGTAGCTTCGTCCAGAGAAACATTCTGCAACAAAAGGAAAACACAAGTGTAAAGCCTAATGTATGGAATAGGCACGTCCTTCAGACACAGTTGTATCTACCACTGCACAGTAACATCGCATAAATGTAACGTGAGCCTGACAAAAGTTAAGGGAAAATAACTTTAAGGAAGTTAAGGGGAGAAGTTGCCATAGGGAAGCTTTTAAAGCTTGGGCATATAACAAAAGGTACTTCCGATTAAGATCCACTGTAGGAAAATAGTGAAACTATTATTCTTTCAGTCTACAGAACTAAGACTCAGGCTTCATTGTGTTGGCCACTGTAAATTCTCTGTAAGCCGGAGAGTTTGTAGCTGAAATAGAGAGGATGGATACTTAGAGATGTATGGGGCCAAGACAGTTCAATCTTCACAAGATTACAGTGCAGATCATTGGCAAAATAGGAAAGAAAATGTGGTTTCTTGAATCCTTGTCCAGTGCTCTACCCCTTGGTAAACCTCCCTCACACAGCAAGCTTTCCTTAATTAATACTAAATTAATACTAAAGTTATGAGGAAAGTATTCACAGTTAGTTTTCTCATTTATGAACAGCTGTAAGACAAAAAGACATACAAAAACGTGAAGTGACAAAAGGTAACCACTTACCTGCATTTGTGTTGCAGTGTGGACTGATTAAGCTTTACAAGATTTTATTAAAAAAAAAAAAAAAATCCTTCCATAGCCCTTTTAACTGTGCGGTTTTTATACTTGAAAGGAATATTTAAACGTTACTGAATGTGAGGTAAGCATTCTACTTCATTCTTCCTCATTTCTGGTAATGTCAAATATTGTAAGCATATCCAAAGTCATAAAACATATAGATGCCATAACAGATTTTAAGACATATTTTGTTAAGCATTGCTCAGGCAGGATTCATTATTATTAGATGTGACTTCTCAAGGAGCTTGGAAATCTTGATTTAGCAATGCTTGCCAATCACATTTCCTGTTATTCTTTCTCTTTTACTTTCCCTGAAGCTATGTGTGATTTTTCTCTTTTTCCTGCTTTCTTTTTTTGTTATTGTAATAATATGACGCACTTCTGAAAGACATTGTAATAGTGTTGAATTCAACTATTAATCCCAACAGATTTTCATCTTTCGTTAAAATTACCTAGAAAACGTCACATACCTGAAGTTTGGTCAATATAATGCAGCAGGTAAGCACATGAGGTTGTGCACTGGTCAAGTTTAGCTTGCGATGCATTGTTAGAATGATGGCACTGAACACAACTCCTGTAAAACAAAAATATAATTAAAAACCCATGACCCCTTTCTCTGCACTCCCCTTAAAGAGATTGTATCAACAGGCTGACGTATCGCTTGCACATAACTGCTTTCCTGTTGTTAGTAAAAACATTGTGACATTAATTTATTTTTTTTTCTGAAATAAGATGCCTCTCTCAGCATTTTATCCCTGTGATGCTTCTCAGAATCAACTAGTCAGAGTCATAAATTAAAACACGTCTTTGGCTTCGAGCCACCTTCATCCGGCCCCTGGTCTGCTTTTTTGATGTGTGCTTTTCAGGGGGTGTAGCTGAGGGTCCGGCACCCTTTCTTCAGCTGTCAGCCTCTAGTTCAGTCCTGGTGTTTCTTATCTATCAATCTCTTTGGGATACGCGCTGGGGCTGAAGGGAAGAGATAGGTGTAGGAAACACAGCTTTGTTAATCATTTTCGGGATGCTATGGTAAGACAAAGCCACGTAAGGCGCCGCTGCTGGGCAGTTCAGAGGGTCAGCAGCTCAGTGGGAGGCAGTGCTGTCAGTCTTGCCATCTTCACTTTATAGCCTTGCGGAGGATGGACATCACAAGTGATCCTGAAAAAGCCCTGACTGAATTTTTAATGAAGCTATGCCATCTTCTGAATTTATTACAGGCACACATTTCACAGCAACTTTAAACAAGTGGAAGCCAGCAAGGAAGGCTTAACTGCATTTTATCGAGTGAAGTCTTAGCAGTCACCTTTTCAGACATGGCCCAGCTTGTCCCTCTGGTATGTTCACCAGATGAGCTATAATTCAGATGAATACGAATAAACAACAATTCTGTTTTGATGACAATTCCCTTTCCAGCTAAAGGCTGATCTCTCACCCTCTCAGCCACAGCAGGAAGCAGAAGATTAGATGTGCTGACAGAAGGGTGTAGAGGAGCTGGGCCCAAAGACGGGGCTTCACTGAGTCTTTAAGCCAGCACCAGCCAGTGTGCCATGGGCAGCTTGGTCTCTCCTCCTTGGGCTGCTCATTCTGACCTCCACATTGTCCCTTCTTTTGCGTGGGTAAGGAAAAATGGCATGCTTTAAAACTAGCACAGCGAAGACCAAGTGGTTTAAAACTGAGTAATGGAGAAAGTTGTTCTCTGGGTAAGAGCAGCTCTGCTCTGCTGACCGATGGCAGTGACAGTGTGCAGGTCCTGCTCTTGTTCCTCACCTCCTTCTTTCAGCTGAGAAGCACAAGGAGTGCACAAAAACAAATTTGAAGAATAGTGTTGGTTTGGTGGCATTCAAGAGCAGGATCTACGGTCCATTTTTAGAACTCCAAATTTATGGGCTTTATTTCCTACCCAGAAGATTTTATATGAAGTGCCATCTTTTAATAAATCTATGAAAAAAATAGATATTCATAGGACACACCACCTTTGACTTCAAAAAGCTGAAAGTTTCACACAGACATGCAACTCTCTTAATTGCCAGTGTGAACCCCTCAGCTACAGAGAGAGAAGTCTCAGGTATGAATTGTTTCATTTTCCTACAAAGTATCTAAGAAATACAGCACGCACCTAGCCAAGCAGAATTTGTTTCAACATTACAGAGTCAAAAAGTCAAATCTAGCGCAAGAAACATACCAGTTTTCTTCACAGGCTTTGTTACAAGTAGGGCAATATTCACACAAGCGGCCAAAGCTTCTTGGATCTGTGCATTCGCACTTTCCACATACACATTTTCCTCTTCCACTGCAAATCTGGCCCTTTGAATTCAGACAGTGCTTTGCCGATTGTAACGAGCACTGGCAACGGTCGCCTTCCCAGCCAGCAAAGCATTTGCATTTACCAGCTTCACATTCACCATTACCTACAACATCAGAGAGCCTTGAGTCATATGCTTTTATGAAAAAAACCCAGAAATTCAGTTTCTATATGCATACATTTGTATTGCTGGTGCTTTACATTAAACAGAGCTAATTTAGACCTTGGCTTGCTAATTAGTTTTTAAGTTAACCATTTGGGCTGAAATTATGGCAGCTGTTTGTTGTTAAGTTGAGCAAAAGCTGCTACCTTGGTGTCATCCTGAGATGTTTTACTAGAATTTTCCCTGTTGCCTTGGATCAAAGCAGAGGGAATTAAAAATTACACAATGACCAGGAAAACAGTCTTCAGGCAAACTAAACAAACTTCTCTTTAGAAAGAAAGCATTCGATTCAAATAAACAGCAAGATTCGGCGGACAAAGGAGTACCAAGTTCATGTGCACGTGCCAGATTTTTTTTTTTTCTTTTCTTTTCAGAAGCACACAGGACAGCACTGCTTTTCTGCCTTTCTAAAAGACAGATGACTGAAACGGACAGGAGGGTACGCTGTGCTTATGAACTGTAGGTTGCTTAATAAGAACTTAAAATGCATGGCTTCAGGGATTCAAAGGCTATGAAGAACCTCTGGTGGTCTTTACAATTTTCCAGGCAAAGCAGCAGGAGCTTTAGGGCAAAATCCATGTTTTCCACGTTGCAGCACATTTAGGCAGCTGTACAACTGACATGCTGATAATGTTTAGCCACATTTTTACATCGTGTGAGAGCACCTTTAGGAAATACAGAAATAGAGAGCACATAAAGCACAGGCAGGTCTACCAAACCTCATGAGGTCTCCTCAACTATGCCTTGGCAGTACCTAAGCTTCACACACGCTGCAATGGCCCTTCTTGTGCTGCAGGGACCCACAGAGCAGCTGCAGGGACAGCCCCATCTAACAGACAGGATCCCCTAAATGGGAGCGAGGCCAAGGTACAGGCTGCTGCTTTTTTTGCCTGGGCTGGGCAAAATGGAGTGGGGAAAGGGGATCATAGGACATCTGAGAGGAAGGCTCTGCACTGGAAAATATCCACAAAGAGGCACACTGCTCAGCCATAGCCTCGGACAGCAGGTTCCCCTTGTGGTACCCCAGGGCAGGACTCCATCGTAGGTGATGGTCTCCAACACCTCTTAGATAAAGATCTCCATGTATCTTCTGCTGACCATGGCACTGCATCTCAGGCTTTAGGAGCTTGTAAGCTTGAAAGGTCTGCTTATGGTTAAGAAATAGTAAATTTGCAAAGTTGGATGGTGGGAGCGAAAAAGAGTGAGAAGATGAACAGTAATTCTTTGTGTTGGAATGGGATGAGGTAACATTATTTATCTTAATTTTATATAAAGTTCACAGTCACCAGCAGAGCAAAACCAAAGTAACTCTACTAAAGTCCACAGTATTACTCTAAATTTATCCAACTGTAGTTGAAAAAAATTGGTGCCTCAATTCACTCATTGGTGAGTACAGAGTGAAATGAAAGGATGCAGGATGGCATTACAGATTTAAAAATATTTAATTACTTCTGAGGGGGAAAAAAACTATTCTGGTAGAGATACAGTAATGATACCGATTGAATCCCATTTTTCCTTAATAACTCTTAACTTAGAAGTACATGTTTTGTATTTTGTTCATATGCAATTTTCATTTGCATGCTTTCTTTAGAAAATATAAAGTAGGCCACAAAAAGAATAAGAATTTCTAACAACTGTCTCTGTTTATGTTTCACTTCCACTCTCCTTTCTGGAGCAGATGTTCTGAACAGTGATAGCATATATATCAGTATTTGAAATGAAGTGTCACTCTATCTCTCACGAGACCAATTTAGGGTATTAGAAAATCAGAACCTCATCTGAAAGTTATGATTCCTCCTAATCTCTTAGTATCTCCTATTCCCATTAGATTGAAATATATCAACATACTTCCTGGAATAATTTTACTGTTTTATCAGTAGCATTACTTCTGAAGAAGTTCAAGATTTAAGTCCTAGACTTAGAAAAAACTCAATTAATCCCCTAAAAAGCAGTGCTGAAGTTTAGAAGACAGTGCATACCTCTGTGGTGGAGAAAGCCCAGGAGTGCGAATTCCTACCCGGCTGTTCAGGACATTTCACACACTAATTCTGCACATACAATGCTTGTGCTCGACAGCCTTGTATCACTGTTTTCAGCTGTATCATGTATATAAGCTTCAGAAAACAAAACAAAACCGAACCAAAATACAGACATAAACTCTGCAGCTTACCAGAACATAAGTTTCCCTGGTGATATGGGCAGGAAAAATCATCCATTTCACAGTACTTGCCATACACCTTGCCTAGCTTGTTTTTGTAGCAGAAACATCTTCCATCTATGCAATTTCCTTGACCACTGCAGATGGGCTGGTCCTGGTGTCGTCTGCACCTCTCAGAAGGAAGCGTATCTCTATTAGAGCTACAATTATTGTCACTGCAATGGGACTGTTTGCCATCAGAAAAAGTTTCATCAGCCCATACTCTTTTGTGCCTTGTGCTGTCTCCATTCTGACAGGCGCAGCTTTTCTGCACAGTAACGATGGCGGTTTCATTGAAACCAATAGGCTTAAGTACTGCGTATTTTCTTCCTCCAGTTGTATCACATCCTTTCATTGTAACTGATACATTGAAAAGTACCTAGGAAGAAATAAAGACAGATTTTACATCGTTATTATTTCCTATAAACTGCTTAAATTTTTTTAACACATAAATAAAGCAGAATCTTACATTATTTATGAATGTATGATAGCTAATAGTAACAAAATACACAGCAGCCATTTGTCAAATATGATATATTAGTAATAATAGGCATCATAAACACAGCTGAAACCCTAACATTAGAAGACTGACAGCAGCCTACTCTTCATGTGAAGAAAGCATAGTTCCAGAAGACAAGTTTAATACAAGTAGTCATAGAATTACCATCATCACCCTCCTGATCTTATTTAATGTGTACATTCTGCATATATTATGGAAATACTCAGTTGAGAATTGGGACTAGATTGAGCAATACAATACACAAACCTATAGTGAATGTTCTAGCTGCAGAAATGGTCTGTGCAAATAGAAACCACACGGGCTTTTGAATGGCCCTATCTACTCTTACTAAAACACAGAAATGGCTCACACCTTGGCAGCAGCTGATTTTTGTCATTCCTACGGTAGGGATGGAGCAAGAGAGTCTTGCTGCTCTTGCTGTGGCCCTGGGCAGACCAAGTGCTGCTTTGGGGTGGACCCAGTGCCTATGTCTTGGGCACACCATGGCCATCACCACCATGCCCCAGGACCTCACCCTTGTAGCGCCTGCTGCACAGGAGCCCAGGTCATTTTGGTAGTTAAGTGACTGCCATAGAGTTTGCACCAATCACTACCAAAACTCTTTGACAGCTCTCTGACATCTGTGATACTTTCACTGGACAACAATCTTGTATTTCACAAGTGGTTTGGTTTGGTATTTTTTTTTTTTTTTTGATTGGTAGGCTTCTGACAGGGTATTCTCACTACAGCTATTTAGCCTGCTGCCAGAAAACAACCCTTCCTCACCTCCTCACCTAGAAAATATAATCAAGAGGAAAAGGCGAGAAAGGAGCCCAACAGAAGCAAATACCTTCACTCTTTACCACCAAAGGACAAACATTTCCAAGTAAAAAAAAGAGAAAACCTAAGAAACTGATTGCATACGAGGTTGAAGCTACTTGCAAAGACTAAGACCATTCATTTCTAATCACTGTCTCCCCCTCCCGCTGCACCCCACATGAGAACAGCCGAGCCCTTGGGGACAATGGTGGCTTTGTGGTGAGCGGGGCTGCGGCTGCCTACATGGACAACAGGAGAAGAATGCTGTGCAGAAGCATGCGCTTCTCAGTGTCGGATTGAGGGGGCACGCAGGCTTTGTCTTGCCCTTTGCTTTTCTTCTTCTTGTTTCTTAAATGCGCCACCACACACGTAACCCCTCAGTTGCCTACACTCTCTGTGCATGAGACTTCTTCCCTTCAGTTACGGGGCAAAAGTGTGGCTATGCACTAATTAATTCATATGGCAGGTGCGTATCACGTGGGGAGGACAGGCTGCAGCCAGAGAATGTGCTTTTTATTCAACACAGAGCCCTGCTAGGAAACATCATCTTCACATACAAGACACTGCTGGAGGAATGGCAGGGAGATGGGAGGGAAGGGCAAATCATGTCTCAAGTTCGAGTTATAAAATTTGATGGGTCTGAAACACAGCAGCAGAAAGATTAAAAGAATTGTGACTAAATAATTACAACACTGTCAACATTGACACTTGCTAATAGCCAAAGTTAATTTGGCACCCTGAAGAAGCCATAGGATTCTTCCAGAATATAGTACACTGTTTTGGTAAGAAAAGGAAGGAAGAAGGATTAGACAATGAAAGGAATGTGAGAATTAAGGAAAAGCATTTTGCCTGTAAACAAATACTGAAAGGAGGATTTACAGTTAAATTAATCTCTTGAGGATGGCTCATTTTCAACAGCAGTAGAGGTTTAGGACCACATGCAATCTTTTACAATCAACTGGCTTGGCCTTTTATTAAAAAGAAACAGATATAAATATTTTTCTTTTCATTAAACAGAACAAATTCCAGCCCTATTTCTTATGACATGCACAGGGAACAACACTGGAGAAGAGCTGAGTTAAGAAGAAAAGCACAGCAAACCTCCCTTAAACTGTAGAAGTTAAGTTAATCAGCAGCAAGTCATGCAGACGAAATTCAGAAGAGCATAAAATACATCTAAATGATCATATTTAAATTTCACACATTTAATCTTCTGATTTGTTTTGCTATTTCCACACACAGACATGGGTAAAATCACACCAGCTGAGATGTATGTACATGTCATGAAGGAAAGAACTCCTTGACCCTGCTCTCCAGAAACACAGACCTCTTCCTGGCAAGTTAAATGAATTACTCTGCTAGTCCAGGCAATTAAATAAATATATCAAGGCACAGAGAAGTTGTTCTGGGAAGAAAACCGCGTTCTTTACATTAGCCAGACATTTTCCCCTGCATTTTCACGGTGCATGATCCTCCAGTTTTACAATCTGTTTCATTCAGTAGGTGGCACCAATCCAAATGGGGATAAATCATTTTATTAATTGGATTTATAAAATAAACTAATTATCCACAACCCTGAGTGTGCATGGAGACTACTAGAGCAAGGGGAGGGAAAGGTGGCATCTCATACACACCCAAGGAACACAAATCCCAGTGATTCTTTTCCACCGGGTGATTATCTTTCAGTCTCTTTACATACAGATTTCATCACAATGAACATGGCCATTGTGCCCAGTGGAGGACAAAGGAGGAGAGTTTTAATGGACGTTAGCTTTCAGGAAAAGCTTTGAGCCTCAGTTCCATAAGATTAGTGAGAATTAAAATAAGATTCAGGAAAAATAAAACCAGAGAATAATAGAGCGTCTGTGATCATTAATCACATAAATCCATTTTCAGTTTAAGTAAATCCCTAGAGGATTTCACACCCTTGCCACCCAACCGAACAGAAAATTAAGTATTCCAGTTCCTTGAAGAACGAGAACTATCAACATACTTCCTCATTATACCCCACATTTTTACATCCTTCCATGCCAGTTTTTTTACTTCCATCAGGACAGATTGCAGTGACATTGAAATGAAGACCTTGGATCTGGTTATCCACTTGAATTTTCACTTCAGAGATTAGTTTCTGTAACCAGAAAACAAGTTTTAGTTGCATTGCATCTGAACGTATAATGTGCATTAGTGACTAACACCAAGTACGACTACTATGTCTGACTAAAAATGAAGAAAGCTTGTCTGTGTGAATAAAGGAATGAATTAAAGCATTGTTTCCCATATAAAGACCCAATTACATTCCAAATATACACAACCACTGAACTGGTAATTCTGATAAAGAGGATTATGCTTTCCAGATAAAAACGTTTTCAGCTTTTCTAAAATGGTTTTGAGACTGTATTTTTGGCAATTTGAAAATCTATTCTAACAACTGTGTGCAACAAAAAATGCATATTGTTTTAGAGCCTACACTGCCTTTTAGCCAGACATTTAAAATAAAACAGTAAACATGCATACAAGTATTGTTATCCAGCAGAAAAGGTTCCTAATGGACTTGACACACTATAAACTGATATTTTGCATCTGTCTTGGAAAAGATTTCTCTGAACAAACCTTGGGGTGATCTAAAGGCTACTGGGATTATTCTTACTGATTTATTTGGGTCAGCTAGGACTACTTAAGCCAACAACTGGTTGATTCCCATTACGGCTTTTTACAATATAAAACAATGAAAAAGCCAGCTACTTTGTAACTTTTATTTACTGCATGCTCTCAAATCCTACTTCCTTCCAAGAAGGAATATTGCTTCTTGATGTTTTGAATATTTATTAAAGCTCTGTACAAACCTATAACCTGAAAATTTCACAAAGAGATCATTAGAATTCATGGCATATTAGTGTTTAAAAATTAGTTTAATGGTATATTTTTCCTGCTACAAATGGAAATTTAATTACATGAAACTGAACAGATGTTTATCTTAGTAACTTTTTGAAAATTAGTGACTCATCTTTGGATTTTTAGCCAGGGATTTTCAGCCAGGGTTTTCCACAACTAAGCCTAAGGTTTCCCTGCCTAGAACAAGAGTGCAAGAGGCCCACTGTCATCAAACATCAACACTAAATTTATTTTCTCATCTAAGTACTTTTGCTTTCAAGAAAGCAAAACATTCAAGCGCTGTTGACTGTGTGTTTGTATATTATAAGCCCCTAAAACTATGATAAAAATCTCAAAGTATCAAATCCAGTGAAGTTTAGGATGGGCAGGAAGATACTGTCTAAAAAATGAAAATAAGGCAAGAGCGAACTGGGGGTGGTTGGAGCAGGAAAGTCCCACAGAATCTTCCATTGAACTAAATTATTATTTTGTAAATTTTCGTTTCCTCTCCTTGAATGTTTGCCTTGCACTGTGCTCTAAGAACCAGGATACAATTTAGGATGGACAGTGTAAAAGTGGCATACAAAAGGACCATGATCTTCGTTTTTTTGCCAGCAATTTCCTGCAACGCCCCATACTCAAAATGAGATTTCTCAGTTTTATAAGAGGAAGCACAGTATCAGTGAGAACTGCTCTGCAATTTGATTACACCTAACCTCCTCTGCTTTTGAGTGTCTTTGCCTTCTGCCAATGTTTCCGACATGACAGTGAGAAAAATGTGCACAAACCCACTCTGTTGACTAGGAACAGACATGGGACTTGGCTCTTCATTACAGCCAATCTGCTGAAAGCAAATAGCCTGATTTAGATGGTTAATGTAATACAATGGATAATTTCAGCCTCCCATGTCCAACTAACTAAAAATAATGTGATACATGTTAATACCTTGCATATAGCTTTATAACTGGTTTTTCAACTTTTGGAACTTGCATGTTTGTGTAACTTGCACACCTTAACAACATTCAACCATCTAACCCATCACGTTCATTTTGATGCTGCTTTATGGGCTCCCTGTGCTCTAGCACATTAAACGTATACCACTTGGCTTCATTGTAATAGCTGTTCATGCCCCCTCTTACCAGGCTGTCTTTCATTCACTATCAAGATGCCAATTTCCACTTTCAAGCTGCCATTCCCTGTCAATCATTTGTGGGAAATGACTCTACGCTCTTTCCCATACTATTACTTTCAGTTGAGAACTCCAGGCAAGAATTCACAAAGCCATTTCCATTGTTCTCTCCCAAATCCCTATCAAAACTCTTCTTCACTGCCATGCCTCAAACCCCTGAGTCATTACATTGCTTTGTGCCGTGTAAATCCTGCTTTCCACAATATCCACTGTTGTCAAACTACCTCCTTGTAAATTCACACGTGTTGCCTATTTTTTGAGAATTATGCTGGAACCCCCCCCAGATACTGCATTATCTCTTTGCTCTGAATTTATATGGTGCCTACACAGCGGGGTCTGGTCTTTAACTAAAGATCGGAGATGCCAAAATTCAAATAAGTCAGACATTTCTTTTGAAGCTACATGGCAACATGTGCAGAGATTCAAACAGCATACTTAGAAGCATCCTTAGAAAAGAAAAAGTACTAGCTCTTGCCTTTGAGACCCCGACACCCTGGGAATCTGAGAGGTATCGTGGAATTGTGTCACCCACCAACACCAACCTGGACATTCAGAAAAGTAGGGAACTTATCCTCGAGGACTTCAGAGAGAAGCCAGGATCCTGGAAATTCCAATTTTAGGGTATGAAAGGTGAAAAATCCCTGTATAAACATGGCATACAGCATTGTCACTCTCATCATACCTGATAGGCTTCTACCACCAGATCATTGAGATTTGCTGCTTGTGATTCTATCTGTCTTGCAACAGTACCAGGCAACAGAGGTAACAGATCCTATGAAAAAATACAATCGTTTATTCACAGTTTTAATTTTTAATAGAAATATTGTGGTTTCAAAATTGGAAAAAGAAATCAGGTTTCTAACCTACTTTATACCAATGGAACTGGCTTCCTTGAACTGCAAAAATAACATTGATGTTATTGTCAATCAACTTTTCAGAGAGCTGCCCAAGAGATGGATGTTCCTGCAAAATACAACAGAAAAGAGAAGTCTGCAGATTAGTAGGGAAAACCCTTATATGTCACATATGATGCAATACAGGATTCCAGAACCACCCCAATCTTTATTTCTAAATGTACAAAGAAATGCTAGGCCTACATTTAAAAGAAGGTAGGACCAAACAAACAAACAAACAGATCATGACAAAAAAAAAAAAATCATCAGGGCATCAGCCAGACTGCATGCACGGGTGCTGCACAGTGGGAGGACTAACTCATACAGTACTATTTTGTTGGGTTTAGTCTGATGCTTAAGAAATATGGATGTGATGTTGTCCATGATCCACCTGGAAGAATAACAAGATTCCTGAGAATGACAGGTGGGTTCTTGTGCAAGTCAGGGAGAAATAACAACATGTGGGCACAGAGATGAGGTGTACTTGTGGGAATAGCAAGGAGAGTAATTAAAAGTTTGTTTCTCCGAAATATATTTTGGCACCAGGGATCAGACACGTCAGCTAAATGCAGCCACTGGGTCAGGTTCTATCAATGTCAGTATCCTGTACATATCTTTCTTACAGTTGACAGCTTTCTTCTTCTCTCTATGTCCAAGAACTGCCTTAGGAGTGATGCCTGCAGTCCTCACTGTGACAATCATCTGCTATGTTTTCTTAAGCACACTGGTGCTTGAAGTAGGTAGCATGAGTTTCACATCTCTCCCTAGAAATGACATTGCTCTATTTGGTGAAGTCCCTATGATGGCATGCCCTGTGCCAGTGACATGCCCTTCTACACTTCTCATTGAGAGATCTGACATGGATTTGAGAACAAGAGGGGCGTTGCTATCTCTTCATCTAAGATCTGGAGAAGCACAAGGGTGCCTGTGTGGTCCCAGTGAGCTTTGTCCCTGGGCGATGTGAGATCCCTCCAGCTCCAGTACTCTAAACCAAACTGTATCTGAAAGTCACCACTTATTTACCATACATCTGTGAATACTTCTCAAGAAGTAAATTCAACACTTAAAATTCATGACTAAACACAGAGGAGTGACTGGAGCCTTGGCCTTTGTTTCCCCTTACAGAGATTTCATCTGGACACCTCCACTGATGTCAGGTCCACCTCCTTCCCCCATTTACTTCTGCTGTCTTTCTTTTCCTGATATTTTTCACCATCTCTCTCTCACACAAACACACTCTGTTTCCCTGTACAATTCATTCCTCCTCAGAGTGCCACTTGTCACTCACGGCACCCTGCAAGTCAACTGCTCTCCTAACAGTAATCTGAATGCCAAGACAGCTGAGACAAAGTTATGCAAGGGGGCAAAATCCATTTTCCATCATATTAAACCATTTTAAAGAGCCTCGTATATAAAGAACAGAGGAGTTTTTTGCTGCAGTTTGATCTTAGCCAGGGTCCACGCCTCTCTCAACTTTTCTACCCTTTGGTAAGAGATTATATTCCTTAAGGTAAGTGATGAAAGGTAGCAATTAATGGTCCTTCTTACAGCTGCAGCTGGGGATCATGCCATATGCGAGGGTTTCAGCGAGCGTGCATTCCCACTACACAGCAGCTGTGGGGGGACTGCAGCAGCCTTATTGCCATTCTCAACAGCCTGCAACACTGTTCTACAGCATCCTGCCTTCTCCACGACCACAGACCCACAGTGGTGGGGCCTGCATTGGCCTGCACAACCCTACAGGCCACATGCAACTGTCTGCCAGATCACAGACACACCAAGTGGTCCCAGGACAGAGGCGAGTGAAGCCAGACATTCTGCAAATACCTCCTACACCATAACTGTGTGAAAGACAGGACCAGCACTGACGGATCATGAGATGGTGATCAAATAAGTCAGTCTTCCTGCTTAACACATGATGCTACGTATGTTCGAATTCCAGCAAAGTGGCCCTTCAACATCTCTACAGCTAATGGCAAAACACTGGGATCAGTGCTATCAGAAATGGGTTTCCAAGCCCTCATGAAACACAAACTTATTCAGATGGAGCTTACTGAAGTCAAGAGATGACAGGCATAGATGTGCAAGGGTTGCAGGGACTAGATCCCCAAATTACCTAGTCTGCTTACAAATATACTTGTCAGATCTAACTCCCTAGAGTGTCCAGCTTGGTTAGTAGTACATTAAAGCTTCACCTCACATTAGAAAGAAAAATTTTCTTTTTATTAGAAGACACTTTTTTTAAAAAAAAAAAACCATCAACAGACCCACAGTATCTTTTTCATTTTAAGCATGTAATGAGATGATGCAAGGAGCTGTTGGTCACTCATGGAGCCTCGTTTTGCTTGCTGTACTTTATGTATTTTTACCTTATCTCTTCCCAGTATTGCTCAGGTTAATGTACTTTCATTTTAGATCATCTCTCTTGGTCCAATTACATCATTCATTTTATTATTTTAACCTAATATGTTAAGCTGAGAGGATAACTAATGCACATGCTAAGTATTTCAGAAAGGGAGGTAACCAAGTACAGATGGACTAGATTTCTTTCCTGCCTTATGCTTTTTTGCTGACCTCTGTGTGACTGCTTAGCAAAAGTTAGAAAGAAACAGGCAGAAAAGTGGCTAACTGGAAACACTTCTGATCTAAGGGTTAAGCTTATGTAAATAAATAAAACAAAGTCCGCTTTGGACTTTGGCACAAGGAGGAAATAAAAATATGCCAAAACGCAATCTTCTCAGGACTACCAGAAGCTAAGGATCAAAGTAGGAAAACAATGTGATTACAGACGGCTCTTTAATTTAGCATAGCACAAAAAAATTGCATTGATAAGGAGAAGCAAAATTATGTTTCATATGATGTATTCTTAAAAAAGCTGATAGCCTTTCATGAAATGTCATTTAAATATCAAATGCTCTTTCCCCTCCCCCCCCCCCGATTTTACTTGTTTACTTGAAATGTCTTTATGTGTCTCTATGACTAAAATAATCACAGGCTATACACCACTGAGAAGACAAAAAGCAGGAAACCAGTACACCTACCCTTATAGACACTATTGTGTCTACCATGTCCAATCTACTCCAGAAAATATCTAATACTGAGAAAGATTTCCATTCTACCCCTTTTCTACTACTAAGTGCATGCCCGCTATTACATTTTGGCATACAAGAATTAGCCCATGGTTAAAAAAGATATGGGCTAGCAGTCAGAGAACACATGGGCCAAAACGTGCCACCACAGGTCTAAGCATCTTTCAAGGTCATTTCATCTGGGTGGCTGAAAAGACCACCTCATTTCACAAAAGGCATCAATAGCAATAATCATGGTGATTTCTTATTGCATATGGGACAGTAAAATCATGATCGTTCAGCCCAGAATCCAGAAAACACTTTCTTCAGCCAGCCATCAATCTGTCATAGTTCCTCAGAGATTAATAAATTTTGCCTGTATTTTATATCAGTGAGGTTTTCCAGCTGAAATAGAAGTTAATTTCTCAAGTTGAACAGAAAATAAATATAGTTGTTTTTTTTTTCCTGAAACAGACAATATCTTTATTACCAAAGGAGTTCTGAACACCAGAATAAGATTTGTACCTTCAGCAATTGTTAATAAGCAGAGCAAACTTCCTCTCATTTATACCACTGAAATAAGGAGGGGGGGGGAAGAAAGAAAAATAGATACAGGGACACCATAACCTGTAAGTATGCTCTGCTTTGGGAAGGGAAGGTTTTGGGATTATTTGCTTTAAGTAGAATAAAGGAAGGGGTTGTTTTTATCCCAGGGACACTGTAGAAATACTGAAACAGAACAGACTGGCTAGAGGGAAATAAATAACCCTGACATCTAAGAGGTGACAGAGGGAGTATATGAATGCAAGAACATCAGATAATCAGAAATCCAAACAACCTTCCTGTTAGCACACGCTCAACTCCCTCCTCCGCTCAGCGAGGTCCCGAACACCCACCGATTCCCAGAAACCTCCCGTATTTCATGATCACACACCACACGGCGGCTGCTTCCTGCTGCCCCACCATCCTTGTAAACACCCGTTGCTGGGATTCAGTTCAGGCTTAATTTACACACAGCCCTCACTGACTTCACTAGTGCAGCTAGCACAGAGAGTAGAACTGTAATGTGCTCTAATGGTACCACAGTTCGTATTTCTCTTCTCTGGTGATTACATGGCAATTAAGTAGTGATTCACGCTTCTTAAATAAATGATTCATATGTATTTAAGGAAATAGCCAAAGCAATTAAAACCTACAAATCTTAGGAAAAAAAAATGCCTGTCTTCAATCACTCATGACTATACATTCTTGAAGAAATTATTTTGAAATTTGCTAAAAATATCTGCTGAAGGTGAATTATCTCGCTACAGAGGATTTGATGCGACTTTTCAAACAGGCATGTATTACCACACATTGGTTTTATACTGTGAGTTGCACATGTATTTCATGCTACATTACCGCAGGAAAGCTTTGTGCCACAAAAATATTTTCTAGCCCATCACAGTTGAATTAGCTCATTGCTGTTGTACATCTCCTGTTTTAGTCTTACCAAGCCTTTTCAATCAATGCAACTATGCATCTTCTGACCATAAAGCATGACCACTACCTTTGTCTCACTAGCAGCATCATGCAATTCCTACATACGTATGTAAGAATTGCTCATCATTATGAAACGGTAACAAAAACCCCACACCAAACCCAGTAACATATTCTCCTCTGCTGTGCCTCTGACTCAAAAATACTGTATCCTAGACAAAACCAATGTCAATATTTCCCAGTGATTGATTCTTCATGTCACATCTTGCCTACCTGGGAAAACACTATTCTAACAACTGAATTAAAATCAATGCTTTGCCAGCAATTCAAAAACCTCATTTATGCAGCTTTACACCACTTCTCTGAAGGCAGGATGTACGACATATACCTTACCATACTCGTAGCTTTGATGTAGACATTATCTTTCAAGTGACAGTTTCCATCATGGGGAATTACTATCCCTGCTAATTTACTATCAAGAGCCAGATGGGAAGTTTGATCTGTCATCACAAGAAGCAGTCGCTTTGCTTCTTTGCGCCATCCAATGTGGCTCTAAAAAGAAAACAGAATTAAGCATAAGAAAGCAGTAAGTACCTATTTTCTAAAATAATAAATAAAAAAATGAATGTGAAAGTCTACGTTCAGATACTGCACGGCTTAGCAGCACTGATTTAAACCAGGCTACTTAAAGCATTTTGCGTGGAAACATAACAGATGTCCTGTATCTGAAAACTACTACTGTGAGTCAGAGACCCACCTACCACTTTCTTTGCTTTTTAAAGATCTCTCTAAAATATATACAAGTTATACACTATACAGTGCGCTTGGGTAACAGCTGCCACATCGTGTGTCACTATTACATACAAATGCCAATGCAGAGCACTTGTGTAATTTTCTGGGATTCAAAAAGTATTACAACTAACAAATATGCATTCATTCATACTGGTACTTGGTGCTCTCTTCCGTTTTTGCTTTTCTATTTATTAACATGATAGTCTCATCATTCTGTAATTTCCTTTTCCTACACAGACTTCCAGAAAGGACATTGGCATATGATCAACCAATAAACTGAAGTTTGAGTGCCTTCATGCACCTGCAAATTGAGAAATTTTTTATTATGCAGCAAAATACTACATCCATCCACCATCCTAAGGGATCAATAGCAAAGTGGCATCCACAAGGGTGAATTTAATGTGTTTTAGGAATTCAGTGAAGTGAAGGAGGTAGCAGGTCAAGCTTGTATCTAAACTGGGTTAGGTACCAGTTTGTATTTCCATAACATTTATTTCCCTGCAAGTACTAAACAGCTGCTTCAAATCAAACTTTAGAGGCACACGAGTCACCTCATATTCTTTTTCGTTATTCCTTCTCTCGACTATTCCATTTTTCCTCCTTTTCCTCCTTCCTTGCTCCTCCTCCCTACAATGCTGTCTCATCTCTACTATTTCCCTTAACGCTGCCAGCTATCTTTCATCTCACGAAAAACATGTATCTGCAATATGGTCCACGTATTCAGCCAGGCTTCATAACTTCTCGTTCTCTACCTTTCCTTTCTTTGCTTCGCAAAGAGGAACTTAGCTCCCTTCTCAGGCTCATGCTAGCTCTGAATGGGGAAGGAGTATCTCCTAATAGTCGGGATAAGAAGTACAGATGCATGTGGTGTCTTCTCCATCTTACGCATTAGGCTCAGCCTCCCTCAGACAATCCTAGACAGCATTCCCCTAAAAAGGGGCATTTAAAATTTTATTTATAAACAGGTTATATCTTAAATAGTCTCAAATTCTTCTCCATCACAGTAGAAACTTCTTGCTCCTAGACTCCATCATCTCACTTTGTCACCTCAAGTCTCTTACCTACATACATCACAGCAACCAAAATTTTAAAGAAGCTTCATGTCCTAACCTGCTAGTGCTGGCAACAGAGGTGTATTGGTTAAAGCAAGATGAAGCAAGTTCTAAAGTTCTGTCGCAGGCAAAATGAGTGCACATTAACATAAATTATAGTCCATGATGGTAGTTAGGAATTACACATTGTTCTCATCCATTTTGGTTCACAATTTGGTTAGCAGGAAAGCCTCCCTATTCTCATGAATTTTCCATCCTATTGTTTTTGGAAGCATATATTATTCTAGAGCTCACATGTCATAAGTGTGGAATGTGTCCAATGAGAAACACTGATTTAAGGAATTTTTCCAAAGCTTCAGAATGATTTTTTTATAACAGCTGTGATCACAGTGTCTGTGAAGAGTGGCTTTTATTTACCTGTTTTACAGCTCATCAAAATGTGAAAATAAAATTGGGGCCAAAGTATTAATTTTTAACACCATTTGGATTCCTTTTTGGCCTTGATTCATTCTAGTGCTCCAAAAGAGAATGTGAAGATGGATGAGATAAAAGAATTGTCCTGACATCATCCCAAGAGATGAGAAACACACCAAGCCTGTGATTTGGACAGGAGTTGAATTACTTTCTTTAAGAGCACCAGAAAGAGCATTAGAAAACCCATATGAATCAGCCAACTCTCAAAATTGCTATTGCACTACTATGCATAGAAGAAAAAAAATATGCAAAAGAGCCCTCTAGAGCAAACAAATTCGTATTATTTAATATGCTTATAGCTTGGGAACTACTGATGCACACCCTTTCCATCCTTTTCTGCATGGGAGAAGTGGCGATGAAATTTTATCAATATGCAAAAGTGAACTCTTAGTTGATTTGTATTGTTTTTAAATTCTTTAAAAGATGAGATAACACCAAAGTGTATTTGTTTTCCTTATCTACATGGGCAGATATGAAACCAATCCTTCAGTTTTCAAACACATTCTTAAGTAGAAGGAATGTCAAATGGTTTCTCTTCACTTAGGAACACAAGGGGGGCTTTAATAATTTTTAAACAAATTTAGTAATAGGCTGAAATTAGTACCTGTGCCTGTTCAAGCAAGAAGCAGTTGCTTTCATCATCCATCCTACACTGGTTAGATTGGTTAAAGAACATCATTAATCAATACTGAAAAATATGGCCTTATACTCTCCTTTACCAGTTTCAATGGGAAACAGAAATGTATAGCTAAAGGGGAAATAATGGAAAAGGAGGAAGAAATCTTATGGTTATCAATCCTGGAACTGACATGACATTTTGAATTCAGGAACACTGAGCACTGATATACCTACACCTATATCATCTATATCTATATCTATCTATCTGTGTCTGAAATACCATTTAGTCTTTCGTTAATAAGCTCCTTACCTGGCAGACAGCTGCTTGGAGCATCGCATCAAAACCCCCTTCAGGTGTATCAATATTCCCAGAAATCTTTTGTTTATTCACTGCATTTCTGAATTCTGCTATATTGTCAGTCAGGGATAGCACGTGAATATAACCGTGAGGAGGCATACAATCTAAATTATAATCACTGTACAAAAACAAAACAAAACAAAAGTCTAACACATTCTATATTTTCCACTTGAAGGAGATGAAAATATTCCCTATCAAGTCATAAAATCCTTCTACTAATGAAGATGTATATATGCACTGTAAAATAAATACTTAACGAAAGGAAAATAACTTCAAGTGAGATTAAGTCCAGTAGGGATTAATTTGAATTTACTCTTGAGAACAGGTTTTTAGGGTAAGTTATGGAAATGTATACAATATAATTTAGTTCATATAGTAACAGTACATATGTAGTGTTTCTGCACAGAATGAGAAGAAACATGATGTGAGTGACAGTATGATCTCAGAGAGTATGCCACCCCTTTTGGAACATCTACGGAGCTGTACAGCTTTGCTTTTCATTATCCTGAGAAAGGGCTATTACACCGCAGCATTAAGATCCTTTAATAGCTTGATACATGGGCTACTGGATCAAAACTAAAACAAAATTTAAGTGTCTACATCCACTGTTAGTATGCAAATGTACATAAAACTAATATTGAGATTAGTGACAATTACCTCATTAAATGGATGGGAAACTCCATTTACTCTATGGTCTTAGTTGTAAGTGATACTTTTTCAAATTACATATAAGGAGAGAAAGGATGAAGCCTGACATAAGTCAGCTAATGCCATAGCAGTTGTACAGGTCGCTGCTCTGCGACCCATTTAGGGCAGTGGAATTTACAGCACAAGCTGAGGTGCTCATCCGATTCAGAGCTGCTGAGCAGGTTTCATCTCTCTTACCCTCCGATGCACACAGTGCAGGCCTCTGGACCATAACCTGCCTGCCCCCGCCTCAATTTACAGTCAAGGAAGAGAAACTGGCACTGGAGGGATTAAGACCTCTGCAGCTGTCTACTTCTAGGCAAAATGAATCGTGTCCTGGCAGTGCTAACTGATCTCCACTGACTATATAGGCAGCCTAGAGGACTACTTCACAGACATTTATATCTATCTAATGAACTCCACTGCTAGTGCCCAATTCAAAAAATCACTGAAATCAAAAAAGATACTTATGGACTTCATAGAACCTTGGATCATATCTTCCCAGGAAAGATAGCAGTAAGCAACAAGGTATGAATAGTTAATATCCACTTTTCCGAGTATTACAGTTTTATTTACAGACTTGAACTGATTATGAATAATCTTATTCTCCAGGTTTTGGAAGCAATCCCTCACTTTATGTAAGTGTTGAATGCAAGGTGTAAAAGACATGGCATGAAAAAAGAAATGCAAGCCAGAACACCTTTCTTACTTAAAATGGGAGTTCATTCATATTACAACTGTGGCATTAGATCAGAGGATCGCTTTTGTTCATTAAATAAGCTGAAAGAAACTGCATTCCATCAACAAAAGTAGAGTTTTAAGTAAAGAGTTAATGAATACATGACCATACACAAGAAGAGAAGTCCTAGGCCAAAAAGTACAAAACTTTGTGATTAATCTAGGCAACATGTATCCAAAATAACTAAGACTACAACAGTTGACTATAAAATGAAATGCAAAACATATTCAAATATACCAAAGCAGCATGTTGCTTGGCTTGGTTTGGTAAAGAAAATATTGCATATTTTTTCTGATATAGAAAGCTTTTCTGAAATCACTCACCAGATATTTCAGAAGTAAACATTGCATAATAATTTTCAGCATTTTCTTAGGAACTTTGCTGGAGAACCAAGGTATAATGAAAGAAAGAGATTCTGAAGAGCTTTAAAAAGAAATATGCATAATGCATATTTGTGTAATTAAACAATTTCTTGGTGTTACAGTAAATATAAAAAGACTACATACCTGCATTGGTTATGGATTCTACCCGGATGAATGCTAATATAGGGTGACACAGTTTTATCCACATATGATCCAAATCCAAGTCGAAAATCAAGAGAAATATTTGCCATCTTTTTAGATAAAGCAAATCCAACGGAATTTAGTTTTTCTATATTGTTGTGCATAGAGGCTGAGACATCAACTAAATAATAAAGATCCACAGGATATTTCTCTAGAGGACGAACTTTTAACATAAAGTTTGCTTCACTTCCTGATTCAAAGGAAACAAATAAGTTTGTTTACTATTTTTGAATGGACACTTTTAAAAATACATTTATTCTTGCAGCAACCTCAGCACAGTTGTTTGTGTCAGCAAATAGAAAAACAAACAAACAAGAAAACCTCCCAAGAGTAAATGAAATCTTGAAGCATCATTCAAAAATATGCCGTAAAGGGGCTCTTTGCAGAACATCTTGGTTTTCTTTTCTTGCAAGAACACTGTGCAATTTATTGTAAAAATTTGGCTTCTGCCCATTTTCTTTTAAATTCCTGGTTATTCGATCCCTTTGGCATTATACTAAAAAGCAGTTATGACTCACAAAGGACACAGGTCTGCACGCCAATTGTGGTCAGTCATTTCAAGGTTGACAATTCTAAGTACGTAAGTATATCCTGCAAATAGTTTGTCATATATGAGTCTAAAACTATATGTGTACCATAAAGACAGCACAGCCTGAAAAACTCAGGTAAATTATGCTTCAGGTTTTTATCAACCTACTTCCAAAGATTCAATAAGAAAACTCGGTAGGATGAAAATATTTTTTTTTTAAATAGAGGTTTTAATATTAAAAAATCCATGTTTTGGTGGATATTTCAGGATGATAAATGTCTGCCTCTCCTGCAAAACCACATCATTACATCATCATATGTAATAAAAACGTTAATGGTTTGGAAGCCAGTAAGAAAAGTCTCACATTTTTGCTTGCCTAATATTCTGTAGTGCCAGCAAAAAGAGTGAAGTGACTTGAGTATGGGCAACGTTAGGTACAGTAATGCATGGCTTCAAATTGTTCATGCGAAGTGTGAGCTCACAGATTAAATGAGGGAGTGGGATTGCTGCATGATGAGTGCAGAATGCAATTCAGGATTATGCAATGAAGATACAGCGAAGCACAGGAGGAAAGGAGACATAGAAGAATTATGTAGGTTTTCAATAAAAGCTATCTAAACACATTCAGGAACAGATTCACTAAAAAAATCACCGGAAATGTGACTTATCTATTCATGACATTTACTACTGCATATGACATTGCTAGATAGCATAATCAAAGTGCATGTTACAAAGATCTGACCCAGAGAAGTTAAACATGCAAAGTACTTTCTTCCAATGGTCTTTGAACCTAATCCACCTGAAAATTTCAGGATTTGTCTGTATCAGGTCTTGCATGAAGAAAACAGAATTTCAGTGTGCTGTAACTTATGTGTTTCCTCTTTGCCAATGTAAATCAAATGACCTTTTGTAAATGACCCTTGCAAGTCTCCAGTTCGCATATAGTGAGATGCTGAGTGCAGCTTTTATTTTTTCCCACATGAATCCTGACAGTTGGGTATATGTAAACAGTGACAAATAAACCTAGTATCAAAACAAAACCATCTTTGTCTGCATGATTATACTGTATCAAATTTCTGTTCTGAGGCACAACTACAGCTGTATATCTGTGTATTTCCCGGGGGAATAAAATATGGGCAGGATGTCTGTATATCCAAAGTTATTCTTCTGGAGTCTTCGGAACTGCAGTCTTCTGCCTCCCTGATGCAAGAGCTTCAGCAAAGCATATGGAACTCCAAATTTAATTTCACTATTTACAGGCAAAAAGGTTCATTAAACCAAATTTTAGAAAGCAAAGTGTTTTCTATGAATCCAGTATGCCTTTGGAAATAAATGTGACTACAGACACTTCTAGAGCTAGCTCAGCTCCTGAGAACATTTCTCAGTACAAAGCAGAGTACCAGTCATTTCTTTGGAAGGAGAGTAGGGCAAGGAGACGATGTTACTTTCTTAGTTTTATTATTATAAAGATGGAGAACCAGAGTTCCTTTGTGCTTTACACTCATGCAGATCCTTTTTTTCCCTTGTAATTGACAGAAAATTATCTTTTACACAGTGAAGATCAGCAAGATACTATGATAACTCAGACTTTTCCTATTCACTTAATGTTTTTCTACAAACGATTGATCCCTCTTAAATCACGGATTTCTTTCTCCAACTATCGTTTGCAAAATAAATACATAAATTAAATTGTATGATATGAAACATACTCTGCATCCCTTTATATCGCCTTCCACTTCTGCTGTTGACTACAGCTCTTTTAGAGACAGACAACATGCATTGATTTAACTTGAGTTCAGCTGAGGGCAAACAGATAAACTAGAAAATCTCAGATCCATAAAAGGTCTTGTAGCTTCTATTAGGGTCAGGTGTCTCACATTTAATAAATGAAATGTTAGGCAGTGAATACCTAAGTCACCTTTAGGAATACAGTCCCCTTCTTATATATTGGCTTTGGTGTCTTCACAGTTGTCTAGTCAAGGCACTTAAAAGTAACCAAATAATCAAGAAGCTTATCAAATGATGAATTTAGGAATTCTAACCCAATTTACTTTCAGTAAGGAATGCAGTTTATATGCATGGAAAACTATTTGTGTAAGTGGCTAAAGAAAAAGAATAAAGACCACAACTGAAAAGACTACCTAAAATCCCTCTTCCACTTATCACTTGCATTATTCTGACCATCAGCTGTGTTTGACAGAAACACTTCATGCTTAAGACCATACTTGAATATGGGAGCAACACCATCATAGTCCTACCACATAATGTTATAGCATCATTCTTCAAAATAATTATTCCAGCAGCTTCTTCGCAAAATATTTGTACTTAATATTACTGTATTTTGTTTAAATTGACTATAATATCAATGTGTTAGAGACAAGCCAACCTGGACGCAGTTGGACTGAAACTTTTCCTGGTGTCACTTGTGTGTTTGTTTCATGGTCACTGGGGATTGTGACATGAACTGTGGGACTTTCTACAAAATCAGACTGGCAGCCTCTTTTCATTAAGTTGAAAACAGTGTCACAGCGTCCCTTCTGGATTGCGTCGGCCATGAAATCCTGTTTTATAAGAGACAAAAAAGTACAAAACAATCTGAGCTGAAAAAAACCAACTGTAATATCTTCAAAGGAAAAAAAGAAAAAAATAGTAGTCTTTGAAACAATAAAATATGCTCCTATAATTGCACAAATTGTAGAACAAGTTCATGGAAGCCATATGTTTTTAATAAGGGCAATGACAAAATATTTAAATTAGAAACTAAACCTAATTGCCACGATGACTTTTTTTCTACAAAGGACAAAACTTTTGTATGAGAAAGAGGATCTTGCACAATCAGAACAAGCTGACTTTGAAGAAAAAGGAAACTATGTACTGTCTCTACAAAAAGTCCTGTGCTACGCTACGTGTTAGTTATACCAAGAAAGTGTCATTCATATAACATCAAACCAGGTTAGTTTTCACAGGAATCCACTGGTAGTGTTACTTAGGCTAACATTTAAAAGTAGCAGCAGAAGTCAGCTTTAGATTTACCTAACCTGAATTTGTCTATCACAGATAGAAGTTTTACCCCATACTCTACACCAAATCCAAAGACCAGCTGGACTATACCATTTCAATCCCCAGAAAGAGGAAGCTGTGTAGTACAAGACTAGACAGTTTAAGACGCCACTAACATAAAAAAGGCCCTGTAAAATGTGATTAGTAGTAGGATGATCTCAGAAGCAGCACATCCTTTGTTGCAGTGAAAGGGCAAAGTTGCCAAAATCGTGCCAACATGATCCAATGCAAAATTCCTTCCTGACCACAAATCTGATGATTAAAATGATCCTGATCATGCAAGGAAAAAAAAAGACAGGATCCTTTGTACTCTTTCAAAGCATTGGTCCATCCCAGCCACAGCTGGAGACCAAACAATGGACAATCTCTGATATTTCAGAAGCAGATGGGGAAAATAAACAATCAAAAAGTGCGTACAGCCAACTGTGTATTAGAGAATAGTCATCCAGACCCTGAAAAGACCAGAGAAAGCCCTTGAAGAATGAGACTCAACAACCATGTATCTTGTTTTCCAAGTTCCAACTCATTTTTGTAGTCTACTTCTGATATATTTTTTCCATAACCTTCTTTAATGTAGACAACAGAGACTACTTTTTTAGGTTACTGTTATTTATAGACCCTTTTTGATGTATCTACATTTCAAAAAGGTAGATTTTTAAATGTATAAAGAACTTAGCCACTCTCATTGTTATCAATAACGATGAATGTAGCATTTTCTGAAGTTTGCTGGGGGGCGTATAAAGTCAAAGCATCTCAAGTGTTCCTCAGGGCTGATTTTCCCATTAAAAAAAGTTGTTTCAATGAAGCAGGCATGCTAAGCTGAAAATCGCTCCTGTAACTTTGCTCTGGAAAATGTCTATCTGCCTTAATACGGGTTTTGCCATTCCACAACCATGGACTGTGCGTAGGTAAACCAGCTATCAAAGCATGGTCTAAGAAGATTTGACAAACCCCTGGCTTCCCTGACCAGCTCTGAGGATTGACAGGAGAAGTGAAGCAAGAGAAGCAGGGCAGAAGTGAAACCTGGTCACATCTGAGCACCCAGTTAGAAGGAGACCTACTGCAGCTCCACAGCACTAAGCTATGGAAAGCTAAGAAGTGCTGTTCCGTGATAATTACAGATGTAGCAGGATAAAATCGTGCCCTTTGTAAGACAGGACATCAAGCCACAATAATGTACCACTTGACATTGTAATCTGTTGTGCCATCTACACATGCCCTAAGGCTCCTCTTGGAAAACAAGCCCTCCATGACTCTATTGCATTACTTTTCCTTATGCTTGTTTCAGACTAAGTTATATCATCCCAAGACACAACATCTCAGATAAAGTTACTCCAGTGCCTTACATTCCTTATCCTAGGAATTTTTCTACCATCTTTGCTAGTGAAAGCTACTACAGATAATTTGCATGTGACCTTCAAAAGCATATGAGTTTCTAATTGCCAGTGATATTCTTAAAAGCCTCGCTCCTCTGAAGTGCTTAAAATGGTCCAGCCTTACTTGAAATCAGGTAATCAACTGTTTTTTTTTCTGTCAAACAAAACCAGAAATTCCCGTATTCTTACAGTTCACAAAGCAATAAACATTTCATAATTATTCTTGCTACCTAAGATCTGTCTTCTGTGATAAGTCTCAGAACTGATAGTTTCAAGTGTCAAACCAAGAAAAATACAATTTTTTTTCCATTTGTGAAAGGGTCATAATATATGGTGAAGTCAAAGTTAATTCTACTATTAGTACAACCTTCTGCTAAATTCAATAGGCATATATGTATAGATTTGCTCTGATATATAATGAGGGCTAATATAAACTACTGATAAGTAATTTTGCTTTTGAAGCCAAAAACTGTCGAAGTCCCAAAGTTATTATAAGTCTGCCAAAGCTGTCTACAAAGCAGATGGAATGCATTAAAATGTTCTCACTTTATTTAAAATTACTGCAATTTTCCAAATAAAAGATTGCATTTTCTCCTTTGGAAACAAAATATATTTCACATGATTTCTCAGGTTCTGTCTCCAGAGGTCACTTAAAGATTTTCTTACTATTTCTCACTGTAATTTTCACGGTTTAAAAGTCTTCTGTCTTTATAAAGATCAGAAGCAGCTAAAATATAAAGTCAAAAGTAAGTAAGCAAAATGCCATACCTCTTGAGCACACCATCCACACTCTGGACCCAAGGCAAGACACTTTGTGCATGTTACTGCATTTGAAGTGGCACATCTGTTTTCCGCTGCAATGAAATATAAAACCAAACATTCGTGATTTATGATGATATGTGGGAATTGTAAAATACCTAATTTTAAACCAAGATTTCAAAAATTACTTCACCAGATTAAGAGTGATGACAACGTATCCAAACAGAAGTAAAACAGAACAAAGGCAGCCCAGTGAGGGAATACTTGCAGCATTTTTTTTTTAATCTACAGTCTGGAACTATATGTACAGATTGAATAAACTCCATTCTCAAAGCCAAATTTTTAAGACCCTGATACAGAATAATTTTGAAGTAAAAGTTTATCTTTGGCACGTACCTTGCTGATTTACTGCCTAACAGAAAAAACTTACCAGGTAGCTTATCTCTTCATAGACATTTTCCTTTTAAGTCATTTACACTTGAGTGAGTTATTCATTATTCACTCTGCATGGAACCCAAAATATTTTCTCACCTTCTATAAATATTCCCCCTCCACATTTTCTGGAATGAATAGTTTCCCAGAAGAGGCAGATTTTTTTTTTTTCAGAAATGAATATGAATTTATCCAACGTTATGTGTGTCACAGATTGAAGACACATCATTCTGTACTAACAACTGCAAAAATTGTGCCTACCGACAGGTCTATCAGCAAAGCCCTTTATACCCTTTTCACAGCTTTGCTTTTCAGGTTGCTGCTTAAGTTACCACTCTTTCATACGCAACTTTGGCAATTGGCATTGAGAAGAGATAGCCTTTTCAAGGGACTTGGTCAGCTCAACCTGAATGTCAGCTTTAGGGTATCCTTTCTGCATGTTCAGCACAAGGCTCTTGCAGACCAGTGTGCCTCTACATGAGACAGAATTTGCCTGCCAAGAGCTATGAGGAAGGCCCATAGTATGCCTCTTCAGTGCACAGCACAGTAGTTGTGCTGTTTAACAACACTGCTTAGTGGCACATTCAGCATGGCATATCGTATGATTATAAAATATAGTGGAAACAAAATAAAATGAATTATTGCATACTGGAAAGGCTATATCTCTTAACTGATCCATCATGATAAAGTGCATACCATTATACCAAAATAGTCTGAAGAAAGGTTTGTTTTTCATCCAAAGTTTTGGCTACATGTACGTGTCTCAGATTATTTCTTTCCAACCTGCAATAATGCAAACCATCTCTCTTTTTAGAGTAATGAGAGCAACGTCTCACAGTGAAAAGCTGTATTGGGAGAACATGTACTGAAATAACTTTTTTATCTTTAGTTAACTGATTTCAGCTATGGATTCAAAGATGAGGTCCTGTATCACATGAACAGCTAGTCCTCCATAGGTCACTTTGAATAACTGATGATCCAAGGAACTAATCACAGCTTGGAAGTTATTAGTATCAATAACATATATACCATTATCAGTATTAACAAGATAGAAAAGCCTAGCACAGCACAATTGCAGCATTATACTGATAACATACAGGTTAATGGCAATTTCATTAATTTCAAAGGTCAGACCCATATTTCTATTTCATATAAACTGTTGTTTACAATTTTTGCCATGCAGATGATGTGAGAAAAGAAATGTATGTGAAATGGAGAGAAACTCTTACAGATATGATAGAAACAATAAGCTGAAAAGCAGCCCGGGAAGGTGTTGGAACAAAGGGAAACCTGATTAAAGGGTGGGAGAGGTGGGCTGGGATAAATAAAGGAGGAGTCACTAAGGAGAGAGAAAAGAACACGACAAAATCCAAAAGGTTTTTGTTTGTTATAAAAGCAAACACAGCAAGTTTGACTTGGATGTGAAATGACAGCAAGCTCATTCGGCACTGATACAATAAAAGTTCTTTGCATTTATAAGATGATGGCAACAGCACTTCATGTTCTGCAGTCCGAAAGAGCAGAGCTGGAGGCCACAGAAAAAGTTACCGCAAACCGCAGGAGAGGAGAACGAGGGTGAGGATTCCAGGTAGGTACCAACACGCACAGGGCTGTGGAGCTTGCCACAGATCCCCTTCTAGACGGTATTGGTAAAGCGCAAAGACACGGGATGAAAAGTTGTTGAAGGAGTAAAAATAAAAGGAATGTAATTGTTCTTAGCACAGAAACATCACTCCCATCTTCAGCTGGATACCAAAGACAGCAGAGATGAAAGACATTATAAGAAAAAGAGAATAAAGTGATGGATTCAGCAAAAGTGTCAAAGGACAAGGAAAGATAAGAATTGCTGATGTGCAGCGCTAACAGCAGGTACAGACTACCATGGGACAAAACAGGGAAGAGATGATGTGAACTTTGAGGTTAGCAATCAAGTAACATCCACCATAAAAGACAGAGCTGTTCTGATAAGAATAATAGTTAAGAGGAAGAAAGGAGAGATCTGTGTATCTAGCTATACAGACAAGGAATAAGCCAAATTAATTCCTGGTCATCATAATCAGTAAACAAAAGTAAACCAAATGATGAGTTTGGCCTAATTAATTTCCTGCAGTAATTTCTGAGACTCCTTTCTTAAATTGGATAATCCTGTCTGCATAGCACGCATTTCCCAAAATTAAATGCCATTGACCATCTAACAAAACATTCATGTCGTATTGCAATGTGTACTTGCTAAAAATATATAGTATGTGTCTATGACTGAAACATTTCCAGATGCATCAGAAAACTGACTGCAAAATAGTTGCCCCAAATTTTTTTTCTGTATGGTTGGTTTAGGTACTGAATCCATTGGAGCTTGATTTCATTTATTAATACAACCTATGTGGTAAAATATGGGGGTGGGGAGAGGAGTGCGTGTTTCTGAATTGCTCAGGCAGAAGACAAGATCTTAAAATCCAGTTTGGGTTTTCAATGTGATCATGGCAGATGAAATGTTTTAACAAATGAGATATACAGGATTGCTGGATGCAAATCTCTTTGCTGATAACTCTCCAATCTCAAGAGCCCCATTTTCACACCATGAAGTCACGGATTGGCAATTGACAACCTTGGTACCATTGGCTCAAAGAGCTGATTTTTTTGGACTAAAGAGAAACTTGAAAAAGGTTTATTAATGCCTGAGACACATTCTGGCTACAGCACTACTGTAGTTCCCAAGTACATAGTCCCTTACAGCAGTAACATTTATGGACATGCTTTCATTCACCAAATATTTATTATTTAGTTATAAGCCTACTCTAAAACCATAACTGATTTAGTATAAACTTCTCAGTTTCTTTTAAAAATCATATGCTAAAGCAAGAAACATTTTTTTAATGAGTTGGCTGAAAAAAGAACTGAGATTTTTCCTGCCACTTCACCAAAAACAGAGTCCAGACAAGACTGAGTTACTGTTCAGCCAAAGCTAAGGGCAAGTTTCTACTGGCTTAGTTATAACTGATGTATGCCAAAAGGTATTTTCAACAAGGGCCAAATTTTATGCTGGGAACTGCACAGGCATATGCATATAATAAAAAGTGAGTGCAGCAGGTTAAACTGCGCTTTTCCAGCCCCCTCCACAAAATACAACCGTGCTTCAAAGACCACAGCTACTTACAGTGATCACAGGTGTGGCAAGCCTAAACTCTCAGCAACAAGAGGGATCAAGGCAAGACAAATATCACATATGTTATAATCATATCCTGCCTCCCTATTATGAAAATAACTTTATCATGATGAGGGTATTTATCTCAGAGATGGAATAACAATAACGCACACTGGCATTTGAGAGGGGATGTTAAACAGGTTTTCAAACAGACAGCACTTTGTTCAAGTACAGCCAAGAATACGGATTTAGATCAACTTCACTGTTGGTACACGTTTGTGCTGGTTTTGGAGGGTGTACTACCATTTGCTTTCTTAAAGAGAAAGCCAAATTGTAACTAGCAGCTTATACTCCCGGATCGTGCTCCTCAGACTGTTCAACACTAGTTAAGGCAAGAAGATAAGAAATCACGTAGCCTCTACAGAGCTTTTTTCCTTAAATTCTGTATCCAATCTTGTTCTAGGGCAATGATCAGCCAGGCTGTCCCTCCCCACAGGTAATGTGGCCTTCAATAACTTGCGTGTAGCATCACTTCAGAGGGAAGTTGCAGCTTTTATGCAGTATATTGAAGTTATCTTCACCTTTCTGCCTGTCTTCAGGAGCTAAACGCAATTCCTGCAGAGGGGACAGGCAGTAACTGTCCCAGCTAACACACAGCTTCTCAATTCACTTTGGCTGAATGTGCAGATACAATGAAAAGCATTGTAAAAATGTTAGAGGGGGATTTTTTTGCCATGATTATTGTGTCTGACACTCACTCGCTCAGATTACAAGGAAAAAATGAGTGCCTGTGCTTTAACTGCCAATCCTAAAACATAATCCTGGAATTAGGGTTTTTCCCCCCCTTTTTCCAAAGAAGCAATAATTATCTCTACCCTTTGTGCACAATGCCATGCTTTAAAAACATGTTTTGTCACCACCAGCTTTTCCAAGAGGGTTACAAGATATGCCTCAGGATCAGCTTCAAGAGGTCCTCACCCTTGCCCAGAAAAGGAGATTTCAACTTGAAAACTGTACACCTATTATGCTTTATAATAAATTCCTAAGATTACTTGAGCAAAAATAGCAGACTTTTATTCCCTCTCCCATTTTTTTTCTATTACATACTGGATTTGTTAATTGGTTTCACTTCTCTATTAATGGTTGTCCACTTTAGTTTCACTATTCAGACAGGAGCTAAGCTGCACACTGATGTGAAAATATCCTTTCAAGAGAAGCAGCAGTAAACTAAAACTTGGCATGTAAGAGACACATATGTTTGCTAAGAAAAAGAAGATGTGTAAAAGAAAGGTGCAAAACATGACTGGCACTGTTAAATCCTGAGCTCTGGAAAAATACTTCTGTAAACCTGGCAAGTAAGTAAAAGCAAAAATACTTCTGTAGACATGGCAAGTGAGTAAAAACATCTTTCCATTAAAACAAACAACCAAACAACAAAAAAACCCAACCAAACCCCACCCTAGTCATAAAAAAAAAAAATCAAGTGTTACAGTGTTCCTAGAAAGAAAAATGG